ATCAACATCACTGAAGCCGTGTGTACATGACTACTGTCATCGTTGGCATCTCTGCGCCCACTGAACATTTTGCAGAGCCCGGGGCCCAATTGCTTTTTCCACCCATTATCACCCATTTTGGGTATCAAATGCTGATGTGGGATTCTCCAGCATGGTCCAGCTGTGTTCAACCAGTCATATATACCTCAATCGTCAGAATCGACCATCACAGCATACCTTGTACTGTACAACATCCATAACAAATGACGCGGAGGGTAACAGGAACCTCCGGGTAATTCCCTTGATTGGAACATGCTGACAATTCTCTTCATACATTGGCCCTTGGCTAATGATTTTGCAGATTTCTATATATATAGACTAAATTACAAAGAGTTTGGTACCGCTGTAGTGCCTGCTCCGGATAATTTGGAGCCTGGTGTGCAACATGCGGATTTGCATGATCCGATTGATCCCACGCGTCTATGCACACAAGATACAAAGGGTCACAGACTTGTCTAGCCCACTTCAAAAATGTCAACAAATATGTTCTGTACCAGGGCCAATGAATCGTCGTCTCCTGCATGACCAGGGGGTGAGCTGATTGCAACTCATCTGGCATCTTCAGGTCAGCCAACGTCAAAGGACCTTTGTTAAGAGAACGACTCAACCCTTAGGCGTCTGCTCCATGGCCATCAGGATGACTCTGACGTGACACACCTCTACAGTAGGAGAACATCTACATGTGGATTGAGAGTAGATGGCCATGGCGCAAGCTACCCCAAGTTGGGTGATGAAATTATGGACCCCATCTGTCTAAGTCATCTTGTGGTGCCATCGAACCTCTGAAACCCCTCTAGATGGTCAAATCTCTAGTGGTCCTGGCGACTATACCCGTATTACCGTATTACACAAGATCAACAAAAGGTCGAAAGTCTAGGGGACAGCCGAAAAGCATCGGATTTCATCCTGCGGCTGGGGATTTCTGTTGTGGGAGTTCATCCTATTTCATCCTATGAAATCCCTAACTCGGGACTGAGTCAGCGATGAAATCCATACTCCCATAGTTCTTTGGGAATTCCGATTCTTTCAGGGAGCTCGCTCTGAAAAGCGCTCCGAGCTCCGTCATCCGCACGGCAAAATGCGGGTGCGGACGCTTCTCCCCGCCTCGCCGCGGGAGTTTTTCGAGGAGGAGCGCCTGGACCTGGGCGCGGCCAAATGCCCAAGCGGACGTCGGACCAGGTGCCCCGACCGGTTTGGTCATGGACGTTTGGCCCTCTGGAGGGTTTGGAGGTGTCTTTTCCCAAGCTGGCTGTTTTCATCCACGGGTACGAACCAGGGTTGTTCCACGAAACCTGAACATGGGTGGACATGAGGTGAACCTCCGAGATGGGTTTAAACACCCAGTATCATGTTGAGGTGATTGGAGGGTTCGCTGTTCAATCCCTAAGGCTGCAACCACCTTCTCAGAAGGTAGTTAGACCCCTCAAACCCACCCCAACCACCTTCTCAGGAGGTGGTTGGAGTCCTAGGGAATTGAAGTTTATTTTAGACTCGTACATTCATATGATTGGATCCACCAGTGCTGGCATCTTCCACCTGTTTTTACGAACTAGGCAGTCGCTTGCAGAATGAGTCAAAGCCCAGAGCTAGATCCGAAAATTATCATATATATACAAACCCTATGGGCCTATGGGATCCAAGTACCTTGTCAGAAGGTGATTGGAGATGATTGGAGACTATTTATGTAGGCGCCAGGAGGGCCCAAGTACTTCTGAGAAGGTATGTGGATCCCTAGGGAAACAGAAAAAGGAATCCCCTTCAAACAAACCAAAACCTCGCCACGTGACTTTGGGGCACAGATCATGCAATCTGGACCTGTTTGCAAAACCCAGGGGCGACGGGGAGGAGATCATGCTTGTAGAGGTCTTCTTCACCATGGCTGTAGGGCTGCTGGAGGCTTTCCGCTTCACAACATCCTGTGACGGAAAATCGCGCGTGAGAACTGAGCAAAAAAAGTGATCGTATATTGTATATTATGAACAACAAACATCTGCATGACCAAGGGAGACTATCGGGTGACCTAACAGAGTATATATCATGTCATCAAGGTTCTTCATGAAAAAAAGTGCTAAGTTCCAGCTGGACCAAATTCATGCCCAGCTAGCTAGGTGTTCTGAAGTCCCAGGAACATAGGCAGGACATGAACGGCTTAGAACTCCAAACATACAATCAATTGGGTCTCCCTCTGAAAAGCCGGCCAACACAGAGGAAGCATCACAAATCCCCACCCGAGGTCGACCCAGGGTGAAATGGAGGACAAAACCATACAAAACTCGTGAATGATTGAGACTGGGTACTGGGATAGCTGCGAAAAAGACTTGTCTCTTCCTGCAAAAGGATCATAGAACTGGGATGAACTGGGCACTGCTGGACAACTGGGCTTTTTTGGATGAGGGATGGGTGTTTTGGGGGTGAACGAAGGCACGAGACAATGAGACAATGCACCAAATCGAACGGGCTGACTAGAAGGGGAGGATCAATCAGTGGCAGAGGTCAAAAGGTTAATAGTGCAAAGCAAACTTGGACGAAAGGTCATAAAAGGCCTTTAGTAGTGCAAAGCAAAGTTGGACGAAGTTCATTCGTGAATCCGGGATGGGGGAGTAGCAAATCCATATATCCTGGAGTTCCATCAAATGTATATGATACTCGTTTCGGGTTAGAACAACTTTCCTCTGGCAACCATGGTCAACAACTTCTAGAACCCCACATCAAACAAACGTCCAACATCTCTATCCCACCCGCACACAAAATACCTTGGTGCCCATAGGCTCCTGAGCGCAACTGCTACAAGGTCGTGTTCGTCCTTTTCTTCAGTCCAATTGGACACCCGGTCCGAATATCCCTAAACCTCCTGGCCCACCTTCAGGTGGTTGGGGTGGGTGCCAGGGGGGTCTAACCACCTTCATCTGAGGATATGGGACAGGATAATGGTTCAACGACCGCGTGAAACCATTGCACCCGGGCCCGTGAACGGGTTTGGGACCGGAATCCGGGTCGCTGGTGTTGCTGCATCGGAGTTGGTGAGCCGGTGGGCCGGTGTTGGGCTCCAAGGTCGAGAGTTCAGCTGCTCGCCACTTGGGTCGATCCACCGGGGAGTGGATGGGGCCTGGTTGCCCTTTCCATCTCTAAATATCAATGATATAGTATCCAGCTGCTTCCGTTCGGGGTCACCAATGGATATCTCCACACTACTTACAGGTCTCCATTGGGCACCCCTTGGAAGCGCTAGGATGACATATATAATATATAATTGTTGACCGACCAGGTAATAGGACAGACCCAACTCACAATATCCAATGATGTTCCCTCCACCTACGACCAGAATGTACACCATCACTGATCTAAGCAAATCCCTTCGGGTCACTCATCCTCAGGCTCCGAAATCTGTGGCCAATCGGAAGGTTCATCCAATTCATTGAGTTTCGTGACTTGAACAAACACGATAAAAAGAAGTTACAGTGGTAATTCCATACAATGAAGGACAGCCATTGAACGCCTCTACCATGCTAATCCTATGTTAGATGTTCTTGATGACCGAAGTGTACGGCTATCCAAACTCTTAGAGGTGAGTGAAATCAACAACTCGTCATCTACCCATACTTGGAACTTCAACCCACGTACTAGCACATGGCCAAAGGTCAGTGCTACGTCAGTCCTGACTCCTGACTGAAACATTGGTGCCAACTTCGAACTGCTGGTGCACCGCCTACACTCTGGTGCACCAGGGAGGGGGGTAGGAGCAAGGACGCTACTACGTAGGAGCAAAGGGCATCGCTACTAGTAACAATTAGAAGCTATTAGACACAATAAATAGATATGATATTAAAATAAACAAACCCGGATCGAATGGCACCGACTGTTTTCCGACTGCTTTCCTCAGTCCACTGTGCCAGCGGTTTTTTGGGTCGGACTGGGATCGCTTTCGGTACGTCGGCCCCGACCATCCTGTCTCCGGCCTCCGCCAGACGCAACGACGCGGTATCCTGTCGCCGACGCAAAGGCCGCACAGAGCTGAAAAAACCGCCACAACCCACTGGTCAAATCGTGGTATAGGTGCTGTTTTGGGGGGATGAAGACTCACCTGTAGCTCCCCGAAACCTCTGGTTGGTGCAAGCATGCAACAAACAGATACAGTGATACAGTCAATTATATAATTGGTCAATTAAGGTCACATCCGCAAGAAGCAACCTCAGCAAATGTACCTCGCTTCATTCGGATGTCGCCTCGAAAGATGTTTTTGGAAATACCAGAATTGTTTCCGGTCTGGGTGTCCTGGAGTTCCGGGATAGCAGTGTAGTCCAGCCAGGACAACCCAAATGGTCGATGGTCCAGGTAGACATGAGATATGGTAGGAGACCATGGATTTGACTCAAGAGCCGTGTTTGGTCGGGTTCCCTCCAAATTGGAATCAACCGCCGTGCTTGATGGTTCAAAAGGTGACGTTCCTCTGCGATGCGAGAATTCTGCTGCAGTTTCCTGATGGTTCATCTGAGGGCAACTTGAAGACTTCAAATAGTACCCTTAAAATCTACTACAGAAGGGGGGAGTGAGGGGGGTGAAGGCGCGCTTGCAAAATCATAACTTTCCCCCATGACCCCCCATTCTCAAAATCTATTCCCAACCAGCAGTCGGATTGCATGCCGTTGTTCAACGTTCTTAAGAGGAGCAATCCAAGTCGGCCTGGGTCACCAAGTGAAAGTCTGTGGCTGAATTGGCAGCCGCCCGATCAGCATGAAAAACACAATCCCCACGCTCGGAGATTCTTAACCCCCCCGATCAAGAGATTGCCCGCGAATCAGTTGACTGTAGGGAAGGGAGGTCTCATGGGCCACTCCTGGAATGATTCATGAAGCTAAACTGCATCTAGTCTAATCTATACTAAATTCCACATGTTCCTGAGGGATCACACAAACTAAAAAAGAACACGACCTCCAAACTGATGCTTCGTGCCCTCTCGTTTCTCAGCCGCCTTTTTGGACAACGCTCCGACGCACGGAACCCGAAGCCGTTGGCTCATACTTCTCGAAGCCGTTGGAGGCTTTGGACAGAATCTCCGTGAAAGTCGTCACTGAACTCTCCGGCAGGGTAAGAATACTGCCACACCTGCCAAGACCAAGAAACTTCGAGCGACACGAGCGAAAATCCTTGCCACACAATTCAGACTCAAAACATTTATATATGGTTCTCGTCTAAGACCATGGGATTGGTTCTCACATCTGTTTTACCCTAGGGCTCCAACCACCTCCTGAGAAGGTGGTTGGGGTGGGTTTGAGGGGTCTAACTACCTTCTGAGAAGGTGGTTGGAGCCCTAGGGTTAGTACAGAACATGTCACGCGGGGTTCACTGGTTCACCCGTTTCACCTTATTCCACGAATTCTTTGAGCGATGGGGTGCAATCGGCAGGACGATTGATACCTCCGCATTCCACTGGTCCTGCTTGGGATTTCGACATCAAACGCTGGGGCTGGACGTACTGGGGGAGATTTTTTGGGGGGTATGGACCCCGTCGGTCCGTATCATTTGGCGAGTATGGACCCTCATTTTGAACGTGTTTTGATACCTGTCGGAGAGCACGCGTGTCCGTGATACACTGCAACGAGGACAAACGAGTGATTTTATAGAGAATAAATCTGGATGAAACTCGTAACTCGTAAGGCGTACCGCAAATCCAATAAGTCTGGACCCCTTGGGGTAGGTATGGGGTGGCTATGTGCTATGTACAGGCTGGGGAGTGCCTATCTCACGACTCGGGACGACTTCTGGGAGGAGAAGTGCTCACCAAAAGGCAGCAAGAAGTGCCCACCAAAGCAGAATTTTTTCGGAATGGATTGTCGTGTGATCCACTGTTTGCCACCTGAAAAAGGAAAACACACACGGCCGATCATCATTTCAAAAGAACTTCATCCCTCATCTCAGCCCTGAAAAAACAGAAACACATCTCCCCCCACCTCTGCTCCAAGGGCTCCGGCAATCTGGGAAGCTTCAAGATCACTCCTCTCAACCCTCTCCAGCTCTGCAGGGTCGGCTTTGGAAAGCAAGAGGGACCTCTGGCAAATGGAGAGCTCTTCACAGAGTGAAGCCATACAGACCAAGAAGTCCTCAGGCGTCGTCCGTCACGAAACAAGAAAAACAACGCCATGGCCATGGCCGATGGTAGTGCCGATGGTTTGAGGGGTGTGGAGGATCGTTTGGGGATTCGAGCAGATCGTCAACTATGGCCCGAATGGGAGAGTTCATATGCTCAAGCAGAGCAATATGGAACAGGACATGATTCCAAGAAATCCTGTCCTATTCAACCTCCCCTTCCCCGCTCCTATTTACTCGGGATCGAGCTTTCTTCATAAGGAGGGTCTAAATAGGAGGATGCAGGCCAAACGAGACATGGGTAGATCGTTCGCAAGACCATTCAACAAGAAAAACATAAAAACAACCCTGACACAAAGAGGCTCCTTTTAAGGCAGCCAGCCATGGAAGGGCAGGGCACCATCAACGATGTCCCAATGACATGATGTCCCAGAACGAGAACCATTGGGATAATAAACAAAGGGAATCGAAGGCCAAAACTGAATCAATGGCCGAAACTGACATCCAATTTTAATGTTGCCAGGGTCCCACAGTTGAGTTCCTTTTCTTCTTGTTGGATCTGGGAGCCAAGTCGATCAACAGTCACCAAAGGCATCGGTTCCCGAATGATTCCACCCTGAAAGACACGTATGGTACCCTTCTGCAAATGAACAGACTCTCAAAACCACAGGGCTTGGTCTTCGGAGAATGGTCACATCCGACAGATGGTCAGGCGTCTGGGGGCGTATTGGTCCCCCCCGGATCAGGATCCGCCCCGGATGTCACCCCTGCTGCTCAGAGGATGTCGCTTCCACCCGCGGTCCTTCCGTTTTGGTGTCCGGTGCGTCCCGATTCTTCGGTTTCATTGATCGATGTATATAAATGGATCTGGCCTGGCAACACTACACATGAACACGGAAAAAACCGGACAAAGTATGCGACATCAAAACAAGCAGCAACTCAGCATCCCTCAGCACCTCATTCAGCACTTCATCCCTCAGCTCTTCATGTATTCTGCTTTCTCTCACAAGGTCCACAGATTGGCTTCGATTTCGAGGTGATGTAAGGCCATGCAACACCTGGTCGTCTACCACAGTGCCCAGGTCTAGTGGATTGCCCTCGATCCTGCGCGTGGCCAGAACGATGGCTAGGTGCCCCAGAGAAGTGATCTTGCGATGCTGAATTGGAGGCAAAATGGAGGCACAAACCTGCAGCATCCGCGCATGTGTCACCAGAAGGCAACTCTTCCCAGACTGGCAAGAATGTGTGAGATACGTCAAAAATCGCTGTGCAAATCTCTCTTCTTTGGACTCTGGCCGAACGTCAGTTTGCTTGTCCATGACTCGTCCTATTGAGATACGACTGTCTAAAGGATACAACGCATGCGCCAAGGGAGAAGTAGCGCTTGGGTTCATCACTTGACTCAATTTCTCATCCAAAAGCACCTTCGCGTGGAATTGTTCTCCGAAAATCCAAGCAGTCTGGAGACAATGCAACGCTGGTGACGAGATCACGACGTCGAAGAAAATCCCTTGCTGTTTCAGCTCTTCCGACAGAAGCCTCACATCCTTGAGTCCCTGGTCTGTTATGGGAATATCATCCTCCACTATAAAGCTTCCTGTACCAGTGTCTGCATGCCTCAAATTTCCGGCTGTGGTGGAGAAAGGAGTCGTGGAGTCCAGCAATTTGGTCCCAAACTGACGGAATAAACACAACCCACTAAAATCACAGAAGCCTGGATTTGCGGAACCGGGCAAACATATGTTTAAGAATTGATATAATTAATTCTCCAGTCTGGGGGATTCACCCAGTGGAAACGACACATTGTCACAATATGTTTTTCCACAACACTATGAACAGCCCAAACACATCAGCAACAGCACCCTTGCAGCTGCCACGTGCGCTCTCCCCGTCTCCCCAGCCACGGAAGCCACGGATGTAGCCCGTGATGTTGGGCGGCCCAGCGATGCCCAACGGTTCCGGATGTTTCACTTTTCGAGTTTCAACAACGAAAACGCCCGGTTGAGGTTGGGGGATGGAATCATATCCATTAAACATGTTTCAACCAATATGTCTAGATGTGCGATGGGTCAGAACATCCAACATCATCCAACATATTATTGAAGACTGAAATCAACAAAACAACATGTTCCGATTCCTGGTCTCTCAAGCACCCTTGCAACAGTCGGGACATGAAGTGAACGCACCACAGACTCGCAATGTTGATTTACAGTGGGTCAAAAGCAGGGGACCCTTGTTGGCCACCGACACATGGATAGAATCGACTGGCCTATACGCTCAACATCTCCAATCAAAGGGGCAACGCCACCGCCACGATCTTCCGTCGAATCGGCTCAGCACCCTCAGCTGATCGAAGGCATCCAAGCTCGATTCCCAGCTCTGCGTTCGTGCGACGCGCAGTCTGGTTGAGATATCGTGAGCAAAGTGCGTTCTCTCTACTCTGATCCATGCCCAGCTTGATTGCCTCGGGAGGCCAAGCACGTCGACCGGTCGACCGGGTGGGGGGCCAGTGCGTAAGCGTGCGCGTGTGCGGTGGACCAACGTGGACCAATGGATTCGGACAGTCCAAGATCCTGACTTTCTGGGCGCTTTCTGTGTAGCTCAGGGAGAGGTCTGAGAGGGGAAATACATCCTATAATTGCTTCTAAACACACCCCGTCGGTGTACAGCTATGGTTCAGGAAACTGGTTTCCCTCTACTACTGGTTTTGTGTTTTTGTTGTTAGGAATCTGAGGGCCAATGGCTCATTCCATCCATCCACCCGGCTGTTTGATGCTTTGCAGGGTGGACTCTTGGGTACACAGGAAAAAGAACATGTGGCGTCAACTCATGTGTTCTTCTTCGCATTGTCTAAACGAGTAGCTCGCAGGCGGGCAGAGAAGTCGATTGAGTGGCTCAGCAAGATCCCAATCAGGAAGAAGCAGTCTTTCCAACAGCTCTTCAGGTCCAGTGTCTGACGATGATGAAAGAAGCAAGGATACGTCGACACGTCGCCACGAGTTTCAGTACACCACAAAACAAGAACCAGAATGAACCAGAAACTATGGTTGTGGGTCATGTCTCAAACACTGGGTAGTGTACACAGATGACTCCAAAGGTTGTCCTTTGGAGACAGAAAGTCCCTCTCGAGCCTTTCGAGTGTTCTGCTGGAGGACCGCCCTAAAAAGTGGAAGAACTTGCGTGCATGAGACTACCGAAATCGCCAGGATGGAAATCCTCAGCAAATGGAGCTGCTCGGCCGCACGTGTCACAACAAGGATCAATGAGGGTTTATGGACCTGAAAGTTTATGGATATTACATCATATTACTATCTGCGTGCCTGTTTGCGTGGATGGGATTTTCAGTGAAATTCAGGTGCAGCACGGCAATTCTCAACAAGTCCAGATAAGTGTCCATGGTCGACAACCCGCTTGGACCAAGATCTGCGCTGCTAAAACAATGCTCATCCAACCAAAGGCGTATGCTTCCATAATATGCCGCTGCCACACAGGGTGAAAGCGCTGCTCAGAGAGTTCAAAAGAGAAGGGGAGCCTGGGGATGCTACGCCAGCACCGCCGATCTTGGACTTAAAACAGTATACATTCTGTAACAACACTCACACTCACCTCACTCACAAAATTCCTTAAAAACTCCAGGACATCGTTGTGTGTTTCAGCAGTCTTTCATGGGGTTTATCTCAGCATTGTCATACAGCCCTCTTTTTAGTTACAAAGCCTCCCGGCCTCTCTCACATAATGTCAAAACAACATTGTCGGACGCCATCTTGCGACAAGGTCGGGAACTGGAAAACACCCAACCTGACACCTTCTCAAGACGACAAATGACACACTATAAGTGGGATTGGTTTGGTATGTATTAAAACAAGGCGCAAGAACATTTGACTCAAAGACAATATAGATGCAACAATGAACAACAGTCCTCAAACTGCAAACACAAATCAATACAGGGGGTTCAAAGTAGATAGCACAATCCCCCAAAAACTGTTTATATGGACCCCCACCTAAAAGACGTCGTGGGGTGCCAGTGCCATCGAACCTCTGAAACCTTTTTGTGGCATATTTATATATTAAGACTAATTCGCACACATGTCGCTGGCAGTGAAGAGGTTGCTCTGAGCACAACAAGGCCTAAAGGCTCTGAGGGCCCAGCAAACAAGGCTCTACCAACAGGTCCCCGATACCAAGTTGGTCACCAAAGCCTTCAAAACGCATTTGAAAGAAAAAACTAGTCAATGAGCTATAATTAAGTAATCTGAAGCAAACCCAGGCAGCACGGAAGATGGAAGATTCATCCCATGCAAAGCCGCGGGCAAAACGCAAACATAGGTCAGTGCCAAATCCCTGATCAGTGCCTGTCTGCAGCAACATCCCAAACCCAAAGCCAGCAGCGCCGTCAAGCTTGCCACGCACATCGTTCGAGGGATATGACTTTGGAAGGCATCTGGATAATACACAACTTTCGGTGTCACCCACGTGGTGACCATGAAAATCCAATTGCACCCCACCGCCTGCGGACGTGGGTCGGGCGCGACGAGAACACGGAGTGGAGACGACCGGTGCGGAAGACCGGTGGGCGGGTGAGACCGATACCAGCGAAGCGGTGGATGAACAAGCAACACTGAGCACCATCAGGACATAGAAAAAGGATGAAAAAGGACCATTGCATCAACAAGCAGTTGTTTGTGAAGAGAATACACATATGCAGGAACCATGAATCTACTGGTGAATGTGCGTTCCCGTGAAAGAATGCGGTGCATGTGAGAGCTGCCGATCGGACGGGAGTGTTATGGCACCCATGCACCCAAGCTTGTGTTCTTATTGTAGAAGGAAAAAGCCTTCCTCTTTGCGTTCGTCATCAAAGGAACCCAAAAGCACCATCTGCGTGCTGACCGCCCTGCAACTGGGCTTTCCAAGGGATCATCGTCCACGCCGAAGAGATTGCCCGAAGAGACAGCAAAGACCCGATTGCCTCACAAGTTGGCTAGCCGGTGGCAAAAAAAAACAACACTTTCTGGGCAAATGGTATAGGGTCTTGGAGCGGTACATAAAGAGCAATAAAGAGTACTCAAGGAACATTGTTGGGAAAGTGCAAGCACAGAAAGTATGCTTTTAGATTTTGGAGGGATTTCACTCTATCAACCAGTCCTTTAAAATGGATCTTCCTTGAGGATCTTCGGAGGCGAATCTGTCAGGTCTTCCTATTGCCGATGGCAAAATAGCCAAAGGAAAAACCCTGCAACATCACATCTTCCGGGTGCTGGCGAGGGTGTCAGAGTGTCCAACTACCTGAAAAGTAAAAAACCTAGTAACTAGCAATGGCCTCCACCCTAGTAGCAATGGCCTCCACCCCCAGCAGCGATGGCCTCCAACCCACTAGCGGTGGCCTCTAACCTACTAGCGTGCCGATTCTTTTTCCTCCGATGACCTATGAGAACCTCCCTCAAATCCGCCCAAAAGGCGGCAATTCAGCCCTCACTCACGTTTACCACCATCTTGGGAATGCGTTTGTCTCCACTGACACCCAACAACAATAATGTCAAATACAAATTGTAGTTCCAACAGCAAGAAAAGAAATCCATCAGCCAATCAGAATGTATAATCCCAAGAACCTCTGCCGAGTCGCTGAAGTCAACTGTAAAGGCTCCCAAGAGCAAAGTTGGAAATAGCAGGACATACACGCCCGGGAGCCAAGCAAAGGTGTCTGAGAAATCGTACACCTGACGACAACGGTGTTCTGATCTTCAGAACGGGCCCAATGCATCGGGTCTTTCCGGGTCGTTCCCGGATTCAAGGTGTTGAATTGGAAGCGAACAGAAACTGATGTTAGTCTGGCATCTTTGGCAGTTAGCACCAGTGGTCCAACTAACTAGCAAATATCTGGACTAGCAAGGGGGAACTCCCTGTAGCTCCGAACGGTTCCCTGTTGAAAGCGGAATCTGGATATGTTCGGCTCCATACCAGCGAGACAACCGAGCAAAGTTTGACCCGGAATCCCTGGACGTCCTTAACAGTGTGGTGGCATAGCAGGAAGATCCAAGTGAGGACCACTGGCACAAAGAGCCCAAGGGGATGCATGTTGCAATGACACAGGACCACAAAGTTCTCCAAGAGATACCTAGGATGCGCTGACCATGGACTTGGTGACCAAAAAACAACTCCGATGCGCTCCTCTCCAGTTAGACATGTTGGACGAATTTAACTAGAAACACCGATATTTATTTGCAATCCAGGGGTACTTATGATCGCCGAATGCTTCAAGAACTGCTTCCGGATTCACATTATCATGCTCAAAGATGTTGAGACACATTGAGCTGAAGGACAGGCCCACTGAGGTCACCAATGATTGCATCAAACTTTCCCGCTGCCTCACCACCATGCAAACCATGGAGGCCAAACCACTAGGTGAAAGGCCACCCACCAGTTGTAGCGCAAACCAAACAAATTCACCCGATTCTCATTCCTGTGCAAGTGCATCGCCTCGCTCCAATCAATACCTCAGCTGCAACAAAACAAACACACACACAGACTTAGGAAATGCATACTGACACGGATGCGGTTTGCCACTCGCCAACCTAGGTACCCATATGCCTGAGAAAGCAAGTAAGGGGTCTGAGCATCTTGGAGGTCTCGTAGAAAGGAAGGAGGCCCAAGGTGTTGAAAGTCTCAAAATCCAACTCCGGAAGGCGCGACCGACAAAGTGACGACGAGCGCTCAAGTCTGCAGAACTCATGAGCTCTTTTTTGAAAATTGGAGTGGCAGCTATGAGCACCACAGCCAAGCAGGTACAGGAAGGTGATCAGCCTTCCCTTCCAATCCATGACCGTAGCTTCGTTGCACACGGTAGGTCATGGATGCCGTGTGCCCCTGATGTACAAATTCAATCCCTGTGACTCCAAGGGTTTCACACACACAGACACACACAACACACACTCTGACATTGGTTTTCAGTTAACTCAATTCCCAGGAAAAATGGCGATGGAACCGCAAGGTGAAAGGGTCAGCGCACTTGAAATGTTTAACACAATGTTCACGTGTCTGCAGTGGCGAGCGTCACGTGGCGCACGAAGAACGACCGAGGAAAGGTTTAAGGGAGGTAGCATGCGAACAACCATGAATCAAAAAGCGGAAAAAGGAGGGTAACAGCTTGTGAAGCACTCTGCAGGTACATGGTTGAGCGTCCTCAACCACCTCCCTTCCAGTGACCCAGCTTCGTTGGATCAGGTTAGTCACTGGAAGCCTGATCCCCCTGCTTCTAAACGAAAGAACTCTTTGGAACAAAGGGGGACACACACACGATGCCGGTTCCGGCGCAGGTGAATCAGTGAATCGGTGGAGGTGTTTTTTACCGCTTCTTCTTCAAAAATCGCTCGCAATCTCTTGTTGCGTGTCCCCTCAGGACGTACAGGTGGACCAGCTCTTCAGCCGCTGCAGCTGCTGCTTGTGGAGGGTAAGTGTAAGTGTAAATGGCGTGTAGTCTGGAGGCGAGGCCGGACAGTTTCAGGCGCTGGATGCCGGCGCTGGTGGAGTCACGGATTTTCCATGACTGGGCTGGTTGGATGTAAGTGATGGTACGTTGAGAAAGGTCAATGTTGAAGCCCAGGAGGTGGAAGTCATCCACTGTTTCCAATTCGACGGGATTGCCGAAGAAGTCGTGGTGGATCAGGGTCTGGATGGCAGGATGGGAGAGGACATGTTCGTTGTGTACAATGAAGCGGTTGTCTACGTAGCGGTAGTATATGAAGTGGAGATTTGTGTGGTGGAGAAGGTTGTTGTGTAGCTGATGCCACGAGTGTTCGATCAGTGGAATGGCGACATTGCAAAGGGCCGGAGACAGCTGGGAGCCAATCCCAGCGCCTCGTATTTGCTTGTAGGTGTTGTTGCAGGCCCGGAAAATGCAGGTGTTGAGGGCAAAGGAAACAATGGTGGTGATGTCAGAGGTGTGGAGGGTGCGTTGTGTGGGATGTCGTGAGTGATGCCTGCCAATGTGGGCATGGTGAAAAGGGTTGCCTGTAGCCTGGTGTCCACGGTGAGAGTGTGGGTGGAGTGTTGTGTTTGCCACTCGTGGACGAGGGAGTGGACTGCATCAATCAAACACTTTTGTGGGACTGAGTTGAAGAAACCAACAAGGTCATCGTTGGTGGCATGTAGGGCGATGTCTGCTGGAGTTTGATATAGGTAGGAGTGGAAATGGCGCCAGAGTTGTGGGATGGAAAGTTGTCCAGGATGTTGGGGGAAGAGATGTTGTAGGATGATGTCGAGTGCTCTGCTGGTGATGCGGAAGAGGTTGCCGGCCATAGATTGGAAGTAAGAGATAATGGTGCGGCCTTTCTGCCATTGCTTCTTGGCTTTGAGGTGGACAATACCATAAGGTATCGTAAAATCCTTGCGAAACCCCCATTTGTAGCGTGAGCGTAAGCTGGGGGGAATAGTGGCCGCGAGGTGGTCATGGATGTTTGTGGGAGTGAGGTGGTGTAGTGGTTCAAAAAGTTCAGGGGCTTGCCAGGTATTGAGTGCGCCTGAGAAGTATTGGCGTGGGCAGAATACTCGGAGTTATTGTAACTCGTGATCTGCATGGTGGAGGACAACGGGGTCTCTGAGGAAGGCTTGAAGTTGTCGAACGAGGCGGGCTGTGAAATGTGGGTGTTGTTTTAGATGGGCAATGTGGAGGTGCCACTGATGTTGCAAGAAAGGTTCCAGGTGTTGGGTGAGGGAAACTGCTAGGCCCTCAAGTCGGAGCCATTTTTGGAAGGCTGTTTGAAAGGTGAGGAAGTAGCGTGCTCTTGTCGGGTAGAAAGTGCTGTTCATGTTGGCGTTGAGAAAAATGCGGAGGTGTGCTGGTAAATCGAGCTGATCGAGAGTGAGGATGTAATGGCCGTGGGTAGTGGAGTATATTGGGATCGAGAGCAAGCGCAGGGGAAGTCTGCGGGGTCTGGTGGTGTAGTGTCTCTTCCCACGTTCTGTGGTTGTGAAGTTGAGCCCGGAGCTGTTTGTGTGCTGCTTCACGAAGACGGTGGGTGGGTGGGTGTAAGGGAATTGCCAGGTGCTTGTGTTGTTGAATGGTGGTTTGTAGCCATTGCTGGGTATGTTTAAGGAAGTCATCGTGAGCTAGGAAAGGGACAGTGAGCGGAATGTTGGGTCGTGGTGGGCCCACTTGACCTGCAAGTCATGGCAAGCAGATCATCTACCTGACCTTCGAAGATCCCGGAAGGTGACTTGGGCCCAGTGGAACTTCAAAGGGGACGGTCACACCTGGCCGAGGAAGACTTTCAAAGAAGCGCTGCTCGAACCACCTCCAGGACTTCATGGAGGACAAAAGGCCAAAAAGGCCAGGAAAGTCAAGGAGACCAATTTGCACAAGGCACTCAAGGAGCATTGGGATCAAATGCCAGAGGCATTCAAAACCCAGTGCACTGCTATGGGATGCAGATAGCCGAACCACCAGCGGCACCTGACCTCCCAACCTTGATCAAGGAACACCTTCAAAGTCTGCCGACTGACTTGAAAGAGGCAGTGGAGAAGATTGTTGAACCGGACAAGCCAGAGCCCACCCTGGCATCCAAAGTGAAGCAAGCAGTGGGGACTTTGAAGCAGCTCTCTGAGAAGAAAGCATCGCGTGGCGAAAAGGAGGAAAGGTGTTCTGCTGCCGGTGCCAGGCACACTGTCTGGCAAAAGGTGAGGAGACGTGGCAACCAAGCCGCAACATTAAAAGAATATGTGGTGGAGAAGGAAGCCAGCAGAGCTTGCCGGCATTGTTCAAGGCCAAAACGGCCGACTGAGCTGCAGGAGCAAAAGAGACGAGCAAAAAAAGCGCAATACCTAGATTCTACTAGTAAAGTCCTAAGTAGATGTGTGTCACATGGTCCTACTAGAAGATCCTCTTGCAGACTCTAAATCAAAACCCGAGAAACACCATCTCACAAAGTGGACTCCAATCCAACCCACGCACACCACTCTGCCCGTGCTCCGGCGAAGCCAAGGGCTGTTCAACACCACGCTGTCCGTGGTCTCTCGGAACCACACCTTGGTCGAAAAGGGGTCGAAGCGTTTAAACCAAAAACCACGGTCCACACGTCCCTCCAATGCATTTTTCTAATAGTATATATACATAATGCTTGTGTTCCTGACAGTGTTCTTGACATGCGTGTGTTTCACGTCATGCATTTGGCCTTACGGCCACCAAACAGGCCTTGTAAGAGGTTCCAAACAGCTCGTTGTCACCGATGACCCCTTGGGCTCGGACGGAAATTGGAACTACACTCCCATTTGGGGATGTTCCGCTCCGCTCTGCTCGTCGTCCAGAGTGCTTCAACTATCAGGGTCGTTTTCTTCTAGATACCTAGATCTCCGTTTGGATCATGCGTGCGCATCAGCTTGCTCTCGAGGTGCCTGGGTTTGCCACCAGGTCCGCCGCAAGGGCTCCCAAGGCTGGAAGGGCTCGACATCCACCCAGCTGTCAGTGGAGAATTTCAGCATCTTGATGCATCTTGTGATATAAGCTACAGGTCACCACCTGCCACTTTTAAGTCTGAAAAACAGCCGCCAAAGGAGAGTCCGGTGATGGTGTATATTGATATAGATTTACATGGTTTGGGGGGATCATCTTTTGGAAAAAAAACTATGATGATCCAAACTGCTGGGGGTTACTCCAATTCAAGCTGCCCACCGGGCTGTTTCCCGTTTCCCGGTCAGACCTCTCCGGTTGCCATGCTTTCATGGTCGTCTCTGCAAGAGTTGGAGCCGAAAAGAAGTGGTTTGTAGAGGAGCCGAAAACCCAGGTTGGGTGGTGGATCGACCCACGACCACCAGGTGTGAAAACCATCCAATCACCAACCAAACTGGGTGGTGCTGGTTTGGAGGTAAAAATGGCTAGCCAAGGGTTGGGGGGGAGGAGACACATTCTGAACAGACCGAATGTGAGGTTCATTGCTGAATTGTCATGCTCCTCCCTTCACAGACTATAGCTCCAACATGCTCAACCATGCTTGTAAAATCCAGTGAAATAGAAAACAATTGAGTACTCCAACATCAACGAATCAAAGGAAGATAATCTATGGTAGTTTCAACCCTCTTGGGTTCATGACGATAGTCGTTGGGATGTATCTTCCCAAATTAGTAGGACATCGAGTGAAATAGAGAGCGCTCATCGTCCTAAAACCCTTTGGATGGCACACTCCAATCCATGGTACGTGTTTTTCCCAAGAGGAGGATTATAAAAGGGAGTGAGGGTAACCGTGAGGAAGGGGACTGTCGAACAACATGAAATCTTTGCAGATGGAAATAGTGGCGCTGATGATATGCCACTGATTGACACACAAATTCACCGTCAAATTGCAACCCATTACAGCGAAGGTGCAACTATGCCCAGGCTGTCGTGGGCATTGTCCAGGAAACCAAAATACATCAATAAATCAATATTATATATATATTATGATATATCGATATTGTACATCGTGTCTTTGGTCCCAAAATGTTTGCTTAAACCACAAACAGTCCACATCCCAGTCAAAATCTCCCAGTCACTCTCCGGTCCCAGCTTTCCAACATCTGTGTGACGCTCAACGCTCCGCGAAACAAAGCTCCGCTGCTCCCACGGACCTTATCTTCGGCCACCACGCCATGAAGACCCCGTAGGAATTCACGAATCTGGCGGTCCGGGCCCCACGCCGGTGGGGAAGATCCGCAGGAAGAAGGCGTCTTTCATGTGAGGCGCATGTGCTGTTGACCAGAGTGAACTCCAAACTCAGATGAGATTCAGATCGGACATCACGGCAGAATGGTCAACCCGTCCAAGAAAAACCAACCACACCGAGAAAGGCATGAAAACACGCACGAACTGTTCTGTGTAAAACCAGCACTTTTGGAATTGGGAGTCCCTTCGTTTTGGTGGCCGGGTATAGTAGCCCCTGCAACTTGAGCACCGCGGAAGCCGTTTCTTGCAATGAGCATGATGTCTCTTTTTAATGATTTTGAGAGCTTCTGTGTATATATTCTGCGATTTCTTGCTTCTTGATCGTTACTGTGTCATAGTTACAGTTTTGAAGCCTTACATCAGCTGCAGGATGCCACTACCCCGATTTGCTCAAACATCAAATCTCTGTAGCTGGTCAATTCTAGTGTCCAGTCTGCACTCGAGATGCCGTTTCATCTGCTTTCAGAACTGTGGTTATCCAACAGGAAAATAGAACTTCATACAAGTAGCAACTCCATTTGGTAGTCATCCTCTGGAAAGAAAAACAAGGTTGGCTGGGAGCTCTTGGTAGTCCCACACATGCAGGGGGATCAAAAAGAAAAGAACACAATACCAGAACGACATCTCGCTGAGGGGCGCTTTCGCCCTCGTGTGCGCCGCACGTGACTGACGCTGTGACTGACATGGCAGTCGTCCGAGCTCCCTCTCCGCTGCGCCGGCGCCGAGTCTCGCAGGGTCTTCGGCAGCGAAGAGATGATGAGTCAAGTCGTCTCGGTCAGACTTGATGAGACTTCGGATTGCTGAACAGATGGTCCAAAGCTCCCCAAGACATCCAAGACCCAGTCCCAGAAAGTCACCAAACCCATGTCAGCCGGTTCCTGGCCGTCCCCCGAGCACATGTGAGCCAACATGTTGATTCATCCACCAAGCCAACACCAAGCCAATGACCTGACTCTCCTGAAACATGACCTGACTCTCCAGTCGTGGTCGAGTAGAGTCTGATCAGCGAGATCTCACGTTTCCGCCCATAGACTATAGTGACTACCGTACACGACAATGGTCGACCGTTCCCATTGGACACCCAGACAGGATGATCCTCTTCTTTATTCACATTGCCTATCTTAGCCTTGTAAATCTCTTCTGGGTTTCACATGGATTCACCACAAAAACACATACGTATAATAATAATGTATATATATATATAGTATATGGGCTATGGATGGCTATGGATCAAAACCGGGATACCTTGGTTGCTGCCCCCTGGACTGGTCGGGCTCCAGGTGGGTCACTGTGGGTCCTTCTTCCATCGTTCCACATCGACATCGTCTGCTGACCGCGTGCCGCCCCGCCTCAGCTTTGGTGCAAACATCCGCGGAAGCCCCACCGATGCGCGAGCGCCTCAGTGGGGACTCAGCCGAGTCCAAAGGAACCCAAAACCATCCATGCGAACGAAGGATCACGGGGGTTAGTAAGTGCTTACCCCCAATAGTGAAGTTACTAACCTGTGGCTAAGTCAGGTTGTAAGTGGTGTCGGTGTCCCGGTGGGGTCCGTGGGTCCTGTCTTGTCATGTCGGCTCTTTGGAAAACGTGGCAGTGTGTGTGTTTTCTTTCCACGTTGCAGATCCATCAGCAATGACATTCATGGGATCGGCCTATTTATATACACCCACATCATCCCACATTGAGGTCAAAGACCTGGGGTCTTGACCTGGGCAGTCCGATTTGTTGTCTGGGGAAGGACAAAATCAGTGATCTGTTGTTTCCCGTGTTAGCGTTTTGAGGGGTCGAAGCCAAGGGACACTTGGCCCAGAAGTAATCCGGATCATGCAGGAAAGAACCTCCAACATGAAGCTATTAGTAACAAGTGCATCGCTACTAGGAGCAAGTGCCTTACTAGTAGTAACAAAAAGCTACTAATTTAATTCAAATTAGGCCGACATCGGCTGACATCCAGCCCAATGCTGGTTGCAGTTGAACCCGCCACCCCCACTGAAGCCCCCAAAACGGCCGGGTTCCGGTGGTCGTGGCGGTTCCCGCGGGTCGAAGGTGGTTAGCGATGGAAAGCCATAGAAGACCCTTCCGGTGGGTTTCAACAGCTCATTGATTACCAGGATGGAAAAATGTGACATTGTTCCAAACTGTTGTTGGATGTTTTTGGTGCTTCCCGAAACAAACAACCAAACCAACCTTAAGACACTTCTTGACCAAATCCCCACGATCATGAATCAATTACATTCAAATATACTGGTTTGGTTTCGGCTTGAATTACCAGGTATACCAGGTAATTATATGATATTATATGACTCACCAGGTAATATACCTGTTTCATGCTTGAATTGGGTTCGAACCTCCAGCCAGCTCGGCAGGTGAACTTCTTCAGCTGAGCAACAATTGGAAAATGGCCTCATGTATGTCTTCGTCATCCTCCTCAACCTCACGGTGTTCACGGGCCCGACAGGAGACCGTGAAGGAGGCCAGGCAGCGGTGTCCAGTGAACCGTCTGATGACCTGTGACCTGCATGTTACATAGGAGTAGGATGGCCTCCCCCTAGTAGCGGCCTCGAACCCTTTAAATGATTCATCAGTGCAAGGAGTCTCTAGGAAGTGAGAAACAACATGAACTGACAGCTTTATATAACTCTGCTTTGACCAAATGGGAGATGGTACACATATCTCCCAAATTTGGTCAAAGCAAGAAAACACAAAGATCATGGGGGAACAACAAAGGATATGTTCCATCTCCAAATAACAGGGGACAGCTTCTGAGGGGGACTAATTTATTGAGTAACCATAAACCCAAACATTACTTACACTACAGTACAGTGCCACCGACCAAGAACAGCAGAAACTGACCCCCCGGGCCCCCAGTATCCCCCAACAAATAAGGACGTCCTAGTCCGAGTACTGTTTCAAACAACCTTGCACAATAAATTCCGGGACATCAAATAGCGTAAGAAGATTCAAGGTCAACCACTGGCAGGGAAAGAATCCCTGGATGAGTATGTCAGGTCCTCATCGGGTCCTCACGCTTCACACACTGAAAACCTGTGGGGCCAAGCCGGCTGAGGCCGATCAAAAGAGTCTTTAGGGCCGATAAACAAAAAGCTTGTCCAGCTGTTTTAATCTTCATTTACATGCCTTGTGGGTTCTTTAGACATGCCTTCCACCCCGAAGTCACTCGGTGACCCCCCCGAAGTCACCAAGCTGCACCTGAAACCCCCCAGAGCGCCCAACAACACATCGCTCCGAAACTCCTCGTCTTCGCCCAACATTCTCGTCGACTCGCCTCGTCTTACCCCGTCTCTCGCCTCATCTTCAGCCTTCGACCGTCGAACTGATCTCAACAAGTGGAGGAGATCTGCCTGGCACCGCTGAACTCTGCGTCGACGATCGTGAAACAGCTGTGGCCCACGCTGTGGAAAAGCTGGATGTCAGCTGTCAATCGAGTCCGAAAGCACCAATCACCGGACAAGTCTAGGTACCGCTGCGATGACATCTCTGACTCATGACACCTGTCATACCCAGGTCTCCAGGACAGCTTTGGCCCCAAACACCAAGTCAAGACCTGTCAGACCTGCGATCTTTCCAACGCCCATTCGTCGTGGTAAAGCAAACGTATAACGGTCTCACCGGACCCGGTCTCACGACCCGTCCTTCTTTTTGCGGGCTAGGACGCTTGTGCTCGCAGGCCATCGCTCTTGGGTTGGAGGCCATCGCGTAACGAAGGTAACAAGACCAAGAAGCTTGGGATGAAGCTTCACCTGGGAACTCGTTTCACCTGAGA